TCAATTTTACGCAGTACACTTCTTTTACTTAAGGAAGAAGAAACATAAACTGTTTTATCAGATTCCACTAGGATCAGTCAGTAAGTACAAGGTTAGTCACTACGTTCTAATACATCAAAGACCTAAAACCGTCCTGCGATACACTCTGTTTCAGAGCTTATACACAAAACACATTTCTAAATGTTACTCAGTCATCACTCTATCAGTTTCCTGCAGTAAGTAATCAAATCTTGGAATGGACTGTGTAATCACTGAGTCTCAACTGAACTGTAGTCTCAACTGACAGTCTCAGCTGTAAACTGCCTCCTGTAGGTGGCTTGAGATAAAAGCAAAGACAAACGTTCTAAACAGATAGATGCTTCGCCTCTCCCTGCCTCCCTTCTTCCACCTCTAAGCATTATGTTTAAATAGTTTTGTTTCGACAAACATGTAGGACCAAAAAAAGAATTCCAGTAAAAGTAATCCAACTGAAACCACAGGCATTGTCCCATGTTTACTGTTATGCTTACATGAGAATTCTCTGCTGCATTGACACGCTGCCCCATTTTTTCAAGTTTTCCAGAGTCTTCCTCTTTACCTACAGCAAACCTACTTCTTTAGAACTTCACATATACACTGCTTAGTAGCCTATGATTCACAGAATGCTTTTCTTAGAGCAAATTAACACAATGTGTCATTTTGTATTATAACAATCTGTTAGAAATCTAAGTTAACAGACTATATGCAGGTCCTGATAAACAGGGTCAGCTCGTTATTGGACTAACTTCAACTTTTCTCAGCCTAGCTTGCTACCAGCTTTCCATGGCCTTAATGAGTTCCTACATGTTGTGGTATCACCACAAGTTCTTTTGCTCAAAGTATTTGAAGATTTAAGGATTCACCTTTATCTCCTGCTGTTCTGCATATACAAAGAACACATAGTCCATTGCAGGTATTCTGAAACACCCATTACCCCCTATAATCATCCTCCTTGGACTCATTCCTTCATTCCTTCTTATTTTCTGTCCAATTCTCTTCCAGCTTCACATTCACCTAACTTTTTCCATTTCCCTAAGCTCACAGGGGTGAACTCACAGTTCCCAGAGATTCTCAGTAATGCAGATTCAAATACTTAACTCCTGAAAGTGACTGAAAACTAAACCAAGCAAACTGATTTCTATTAGCATTATGAATATTCTGCTTGTTGCCATAACAGTCACATCACTGTATCCCAGTATTGGCAATACTGTATTCAGATATTCTACAAGTTGTATTTATAACTGAAGTACACTCCAAAGCATTTCATTACTGCATGTACAGACACTTCATAGGGCTTTTTACCCCTATAAAGTCTATCAGTTAACCAATAAAGATAAACTGGAAAGCACAAAGAGATGGTAAAACACCATTTAGGCAAAAGGAAAAGTTAATATTTATCTCTAGCGTTTCAAAGTTGATTCTTCTAATTTACACCAGACATTGAATTATTTATCTTGCATTCTAGTGCACACAGCTACTGCCTTCCCACAGCGATTCACGTGAAAGTATTTGGATAAATAAAAATTTATAAAAACCCTGCAGATTTTCCTCTCTTAAAGTACTTCCTCTTTCTTTCATAGGACACAGCTAAGAGCACAGCACAGCTTCCAACACAGTTATAGCCAGCAGAGATGCAAATCTAGTTATCTGCTACCAAAAAAAATCTGGTACCTCTAACCATGCCCCAATACTGTCCAAAGCTCTAGTATTTCAAACTACTCTTAAGCTCAATGATCTACAATGATTATTTACTTATTTCACCATTTTGTCAAACACCGTTCAGTCTTTCCAGGCCAGTTCAAACAGGAAGCTCTTGCATGACAATGCTGTGGCAATGCAGAAGCGTCCTAGAAGAGGACTTGCCATCCGGGTAATCTCCCAGAAGAGAAAAGGAGCCTTGTATGCAATACCTCAAGACTCAGGGGAAACAATGATCTCTGCTCTATGGGGAAAAAAAAGTAGCAAAACTATAGGCTTCCCTGACCCACAACATCATGAAAAGGACAGTTAGATGCAGCAGCTGGTTTTGAAACCACACAAATGCAAGCACAACACAGTAAGAGGACTGTGCTAAGAGCCCCACACTAATAGAGAGTCATCACATCAGTAGAGTGTACTGTCACACTAATTAACCCTGCTGGATCATATCATATCTTGTCACTAACAGCCTTGCACATGGCTGGGATATCCACTGATCACACGCTTCATTGTGTGGTACTGAGGTACCCTCAGTAATCCATACAGGGCTACAATAGTTTAGAAATTGTACTGTACACATAAGAACACCTGGGATAAAATAGAATAACTGAATGTCCATGCCCGAGTGGTTTTTTCCTGCAAGTCTAACAAAACAACAAAACAAATTACCAGTGTGATTTCTCCATTTGATACAGTTATCATCTGTCACAGTTATCATCTGTCTATGCTACGTCACTCAAAGAGTGACAGGATTCAGAAAGAAATTTATGAACAAGATAACGGAGCTGCTTGGAAATACTGCTTCTAATAATAGAGAATATAACTGTAAACCTGAGAATTTCAACTTGATGACACTACAGCATAATCTATTCAGCTAGAACTGTATTGCATGTTTCTTTCCCTCTGGTAGCCCAAAAATGCCCATAAATCCCTCATTTATCTTCAAGGTATGTAGAGTCTCCCCGGATTGTCTGTTGAGAATACTCCGCCATTATATCAGTTCACATGCTTAAAACTACTTTTCCTGTACAAGAGCCTTTGGAATCATCTCTGTAATGTCTATTGATCCATACGACAAATATGTCCAAATGGAAATCTATGGGGAAGTTCTCTATGAAGAGTTCCCAGTAATCCATGAAAGAAGTCTCAACTGTTTTTCCAGAAGACATCCCAAATTACCTTTCTTAAAAAAAAAAAAAAAAATCCAATTATCCAATTTTTGATGACCACAACACGCAGACACATACAGATAAAGTGGAAATGGAAAATCACTGGGACGAAATTTTGTAAAGATTAATTCCCAACAGATTGAATATAGACAACTGATATATCAGAAATGGATAAAGGTAGATAATATAAACTGACAGTTCTTAATATAAACTTTCTCATTTAATTTTTAACAAGATTTATAAATGAGTGAACTAATCCTTTCAGAATTTGGAAAAACAGATGGTTCTGTTGAAAATCAGTACGCAAATTGCAGATACTAGTGATGGAATAAAATCTTGGGCTGAAGAAATTATTAATGGTAAAGAGACCAGCAGACACAATTGCTTGTGAATATGCTATTCGTACTATTATCCCACCACACCACAGAAAGGTCAGAGACTGCATGTAGAAAAACTCTTTATAAAGAAAGTACAATGCAATTGATTTTTGCCTGGAACCTAGTAATCTGGGGGAACAAGTTGATTTAAGCTTGGAAAATCCCTGTCCTGGCTCAGGACATGTAGGCAGAGAATTGTTTCATCTAGTGTACAAGACTTGACTTGCAGTGCTTATTACAATCACCAAGGCACTGACATTCTGAAGTTTTTCATTATGAGACTGCATTATATTCAGACAAGTTTTGCCTCTTAAAACACTACTTTTCCAAAACAGTGTCAGGCACTGTGGGAGGAATAATACTAGTATGAAGGAAGATGTCAATACGTTTATTAATTCAACCATCGCATGCAGCTTCATCTAGTCTAGAAAAAGTTTTCAGTCTTTACCTGCTACATGTATACTTAACTTGGAGATGTCTTTTTTTCCACTGTTTTCAGTAACATATGTAATAGCACTCACAAATTTCAAACAATTGTGTACAGTTTACACTGATATATTCCCCTGATAGTTCACATAGAGTTCAAATTGAACTACCTACCTTTGATAATAATTCTTGCACCTTATACTTGATCAAACCACTATGTCTAGCTCTACACTAAGATGGATATAAACACTTTGCTCTACAAACAATGTAGCTTTTTTGTTCATTAACTGCAGCTGCAGATAAAGAATAGTTTAAACTTTTCCTTTCATTATGTACTGTCTTGCTGGTTTGAAAAGCTACAGATCGGTGTATTTAACATATCTAAACACTTGGAAAAGCATTCCTTCTACTATCCACAGAAAGAACTATACTGGCTCTCTAAAAATCTTGAAATTATTCTCTTACATCAAACAAGAAAGTCTATTATAGTCCTTACCCCTTTTCAGCCTCTACTGAGGAAAGCACTTTTAACACACACTTATTTCAATCAAGTTATTGATGTTTAGCCATTTTACTATGCTCCATTTCCAACAATGCAGTGAAAAAAAATTAAAAAAATAAAAGGAACAAGCCTAAGGCAAAAATGCAACTTGACGTCACTTCCTCAGCACACTCTCATTACTTAACTAAGTGTATGGTTCAGGCTCTTGCATGTTGACTTTCTGCCCTAGATAAAGCCACACTAAAAGATATATAAATAGGGCATTTGGAACTGTTCTCTAAAAAGAAGGTAAGAATAAAAAGCATCTACATTTGGATTCCAGAATACTTTATGGTACTTTTGTTCTTTATATTCAACCAGTCCCAGAATGCAAAGAAAACTGGAATGTCTAGAAGAAGAAAAAAACCCACCAATTTATAATATAACAGCCCATTACCTACACTTTAACAGGCAGTTTTGAGTTCTCTGGTTTCACATAAGAACTGATGAGGTCAAGGTAACATACAGCAGCAAGATATTATCGTAATCATTTTACTCATTTGGTACTAGCACAGTAGGAATTTCCTTAAAAGTATTTGTATCGGTAGCTTGTAATGTCTAAATATGTACACCCTCTAGTTTACCAGCCTATCAAAAAAATCAAATATTAAACAGTCTAATCAAAATCTGCATACATAATTACTTCTAAAATCTACTCCCACTCTGCTCCTATGTTGTTAAATAACTAAACTAATTATAGTGTATTTATGGTTTACAGTCAGTCACAAAGACTTTAAAAAAGCCTGTAAGATTAACTTTTAAAGTATTTACCTGTGTGTAAGCCTTCGGTGACTAATGCAAACAGCAGTTTGTTGATCCTGTGCAACGCAGACCTTATGGCGACTACATTTCATCTTTAAACATGGATCTTTAGCCGGATCTAAAGCTAAAAATAATTTTAGAAAATTGTTAATACTTATCTAGACAAATGCAATTAAAACAACCACACCACACACAAACCCCACCAAATATATGGAGGTGGGGCTGGCCTCTGCTTTTAGAGCGTGCTGGACTGCAAGGCACTTATGATTTTCACCAGGATAAAATGCAGCACACTCAATAATAATGCAAAATGAAGGACTGCAAAATTCCTTACCAAGGAAAATGGATTGTCATGAAACATGGATACTTCTGTATAGGCTGTATATGCTGTTAAGTACCCTACTCAACACTCTCATTGTTAACATTTGTAACAAAGGCAATCAAAGGCTGATGGTTTTAACGTAGCTGGAAATACTTTTTAAATATTAAAGTTTGCTTAAGACCTTTAAGAAATTCACATGCACGTTGTGTCACATTAAGCACCATATTCCCAAAGAAAACAACTTTGACCTGGATTCTGCTGCCATCAGCTCTCCATTTGAGTCATGCCAGCTCTAAACAGGATTAAGTTTGTGATTTGTATAGCTCAGAAGCTACTGCATTTCTAAAATCAGAATAAAATCGTAAGCTAAAAAGTAGTGAAGAAGAAGTCAGAAAGGCAAATGTCATTTGATCAGGAGTTTGGAACATTTGTTCATTCAGATGTTATGTTCAGATGTCATGTTCAGATGTCATCTTCCACATGTAAGATCTTATAAAAGCTGTAAGACAGGATGATAATAATAATAAAAATAAAAGGTAATTCCATTCAACCCATTTCTTTTCACTCCTACTATGAAGTAATAACTTCTACAAAGCTACACTGCACAGTAATAATTCACTAAGACATAAATGGCAATGTGCTGGTCCATAAGCAAATTGACCTGGAGAAGAAAAAACATATCCATTCATTAAATTCTACTGTTGTGTGATAAGAAAGCAATCACCACCACATTCTTTTTAAAAGCTGCTGATTTCTCACTGTAACCCCCAAATACTGGTACTTCTACCTCAAAAGTCCTTTTTCTTTCCTGCTTATTAAGACACAGCTGTGTTCCTCCAACTCAGCATTAAGTGGTGAACAATGACACTGTCTGAATTTACTGAGAAATTACCAGGTGAGATTTCAGTAAAAGAAAACTTGTATTAAAATACACAAGTGAGTGTTTTACATGACTGTCTTTAAATATGAATTTCACCTGCAATACTCTAGCTCACTTATTTCTGCCTTAGGGGTTTTTTTGTACGTGGAACTTTAGTCATAAATCCATGCTCATCTTTGAGCTACACTTCATACTACAAATACTAACTTCTGGCTATAATACTAGAAGAGCCAAATAATCCTGTTTGTTACTTAATATTGAATTTGTATAGCACATTTCTGCAGTAACAGATTTATGCTCTCACAAGAAACAATCAAGTTCTCCCCTCTACGATCTTCATGGTGTCTTTGAGGTAGCCAATGTTCCAAAACTATTACTTTTTTTTATTTGAAAGTTTAGTAGCCCTCAAAAAACCCCACCAAAATCCCCAACAAAAAGCCTTAAGAGCCCATTCTTCTATATTAAATGCCAAGGCCTAGCTTAAAGAGACACTACTGAGAATCCTAAATCACAAAATCAAGAAAGCAAGCTATGAACAAGTAGAATTCATTTTTCCTGAGCTCATCTCAAATTTCCCATTTTACTATCCAGTCTTCAGTTGTATTTCAGAAATGCTCTTTCCTCATTTTCCACATTTACCTATGTGTATATATATATATGTGTGTGTATACATATATTCTGAAAGTTACGCTTCTTCTATTCTTCATGATCAAAAGGAAACTCTTAACCACACCTCTGTTTAAACTACTGTAAGGCTGACTAACCATATACTCAGGAAACAAGAGCCAACTTGATCATTAAATGTAGTTTCGACACATGATTTTGTGGTGCCAAGTATGATTAAATGCAATCTAAGCAGTAATTTCTTTAGTTTTACTTCCTTCTTAACATTATATTCAGCTGTGCAAGATATATACATTACATTACCAACACAGAAGAAAAGTAATGGAATTATTAATATAATAATTAAATGCAGATGGAAAAGAAATATTTTGTTAATTAGAGCATACACAAAGATGCATTCCTCTTCCAGGTATTTATATTTCTACAGCAAACCAGCCAGAAAACCACAATAAGTCATCCAGAGTAAGTCTGATTACATATTCTGTATCCTCCAATATACTTTAGATTTCAGAATCCAAGTCAAATACGTTCTCTGCTTAAAGTCTGCTAGAATTTAATGTCAGCCCCTAATAAGTATGAACAAATTATCACTTAATGTACTGGTCCAAGCACCTCTTCCCACAGTGTTCCCTGGTGGAGACACTAAGGTAGCAATATTGGAATACAGTACTGGCATATCTTTAGATTGTTTTGCAAAACTGAATAGGTTGATGGAACAAAAATATATGAGCGAGAGAAATCTGGAAACACATAATGATGCTGAGTTCAGCATCAAGGAGAAAACGTGTTTCAGGGAAAATGGAGAACAAAAAAGATCATGTAGCTTTCCATTCCCATCAAAACGGTTATTTCTTTTCCCTAGTTCTTGGGACTCTGGAAGTGTTTTGACAGCATAAAGATGTGTATCAAATTAAGGAAGACATCTAATTTATTGCTAGAATCAGAATTACTTTACTTCTAGAATAGAATGTGAGGGGTCAGAGTTAAACATCCTACAAAAAAAAACTAATAATAAAAAAAATAGAGCTGTACACGCACAACACACAGCCCTCCTAAACCCCAACACACATGCAAGTAAATAAAAACATTTTAAGATTTTTGAAAACAAATAGTGCAGTGGAACCCCAAAAGACTTTAATAGTAAATCAAATTGGAAAATGGCTTTGAACAAACAAACGATGACAGAAAGAAGTGCTGGATTTTCATGGCACCGTTAGAAATAAAACTGTTGGGAAGAAAAAGAGACTACAAGAATCGCATCGAGTACTGAAGCTCCATTAGATTCTTTAGGCATTTAACAGTCTTTTTCCACCAAACAAGATTGTTTAGAATTCTGTGTTAAAAAACACAATTCTGTGCAGCACCTATTCACAAATTGCACCTTTTAAATTAAACATAACGATACGTGTTCACTGGTGAGAATCTAATGTCAGAAATCAGTTGTGCAAGACAACAGAATATCTGCAAGGCAACCCCTTCTTGGCCCCATGTTGATGTCAGAACTCCACTATCTTCTGTCCATTTTTTCCACTCTAAGAAATTTCTTTGAAGAAAATCTAACTGCTTACAGAAAGGAAAGACTTAACCATAAACATATCTAACTATTAACACATTCCGTGCATATGCAACTGGCTTGTTTCATTTGCTGTGAGACAGAGAAGTGGGTTTAATGGCTGTTTCTTTCATGGTCACTAAAGTGAAGTACTGCAGAACATCTGTGTTTGTGAAAATACACACCTGTGTATTTAGAGCAAGACTTTTTCTTGGCAGCTCTGTTCAACTGCAGAGAAATGAAGAATTTTAAGGGATTTTTCACACCATCTCTACCAATTAGACACTGAAGGATATAACAGTGACTTCATTAACTTCTCAAAAGTATTTTTTTTACAGCAAACAGCAGGAGAGATTGGGTGAAAGAACTGCTTTTGGACATTTCAAAAGTGAATTATTTACTGGGTTAGGCTGGGCCCTTTCATACCAAAAGTTTACATAACCACTTGGACTGGGAGCCAGGACACATAATCTGTTCTAGAATATATCCAAACCTTACATTATAAATATACACTTCCAGGATTTGCTGACTCAGTGGTTATCATATCATTTCCTGCACGAAACACTTGATTACATCAGGTGTGGCATATACTCATTGTATAGCGAGACAGCTATGGACACTGTTAGTGCAGGGACTACTATGTAAAGACAGTGAGTAAACGAACAGAGCTTCATCTTACGTGTGATACATGGCCCCACTTCTCCCAAACCTTTTTCCACAAAAATTTCTTAGTGACTGAACCAGTTTAGGGATGTAGAAGTCAAAGAAAAATGCATGTTCTGGGATACGGGTTTTTTGAGAAGCTTCAGTATCTCACAACAGCAAGAAAAAGACCAAAGAAATCACTAATATAAAAATACAGACTTTTGGAATGTGAAAAAGTCAACTCCCTGAGGGGTCAACGTATGCCTGAACTGACACTGCAGCTTAGCAAGCCAGAGAGTAAAATAAAGAAAGAAATGTTGCTTGAAACTGTGAAAAGCAGTGCAAGTCTTTCTCTCTACAGAATCAAGGAATCATTAAGGTTGGAAAAAATCTCTAAGATCAAATTCAGTTGTCAACCCCACACTATCATGACCACTAAACCATGTTCCAAAGTGCCATGTCTACACTTTTTTTGAACACCTCCAGGGATGGCAATTCAACCACTTCCCTGAACAGCTTGTTCCAGTCCTTCACCAGTTTTAGTAAAGAAATATTTCCTAATGTCCAATCTAAACCTCCCCTGGTGCAACTTGAGCCCGTTTCCTCTCGTCCTACCACTGGTTACGTGGGAAAAAAGACCAACTCCCACCTCACTACAACTTCCTTTCAGGTAGTTGTTGAGAACAATGAGGTCTCCCCTCGACCTCCTTTTCTCCACACTAAACAATCCCAGTTCCCTCAGCTTCTCCCCATGAAACACGCTCTCCAGACCCTTCACCAGTTTCACTGCCCTTCCCTGGACCCACTCCAGCACCTCAGTGTCCTTCTTCGCGGTGCCAAAACTGAACACAATACTCAAGCTGCAGCCTCACCAGTGCCAAGCACAGGTGCAAGATCACTTCCCTACTCCTGCTGGCCACATTATTCTTGATACAGGCCAGGATGCCATTGGCCTTCTTGGTCAGCTGCGCACACTGCTCGCTCATGTTCCACCAGCACCCCAGGTCCTTTTCTGCCAGGTAGCTTTCCAGCCAGTCTTGCCCAAGCTTGTAGCGCTGCTGGGGTTGTTGTGACCCAAACGCAGGACCTTGTACTTGGCTT